GTGCAAAATGATATGATAAGATATGTCACTTGTTTATGTAAACAAGTTAGCTATATATAGTTGACAGTCGTGTAATTCTCAGTTTTGTGCTTGCTCTCACAGATAAAGTTTCTCTGCATCCGTTCTGGTACATAACAACTTTGAAAAGCTTTTTTTTGAGCTGCGTTCTTCTCCAGCAAAGAGGTCAGTGCGTGCGACGCATAGTTAGGTTCTAAAACCAGTTTCCACCTGCATGTGTCCAGGTTTGCCTGAACGCTGCCTTTGATTCTCTACTTCCTTGAAAGTTATCATTCCTCAGGCATCTGTATCTCATACTGCAGGTGATTGAACTTAATAACAATTTTAGCATTTCGACGCAGTTTAAGCACAAAGTGCCGTAATGGGCTACGTGTAGCAAAATTGGCGGACCTGCAGCTTGCTATTCTCCACCAAAACTTCTCAAAACTCAAAATCGTCAATGATACCCAATAAATTGTCGATATTGACTATTTGTTAGATAGTGAAAAGAATGCCCTATGTTCTATTAACCCGTTCAACTTGGAAAATCAGAAACCCTCAATATTTCTCAAACTGTACCTGCCAAAGAATTGACCAAATAAGTAAGACGATACTCGCTAGATGAGTCACGCCCTTAGGTGTATTTAACGATCAAGGTGCTTATTTCACTGCTAGAACTTTTATCAGTTTTTTGTCACTTTATAGATGTACTTGAACTTTTGGCTTTTACGCAAGCATGTCACTGTGGCAACTTTTTCTGTAAATACGTCATACCCCTTATGATATATGATATGGCTTCTAACAATAGCTTGCATTGTTTTGTTTCTTATCCTTGTCAATGTATCTGTCCTTGATAAAAAATAGCCATATAGCATGATACGGCAAAAACGTCACGAGGTGTTGCGAAAGTGAATGGGTCGCTCAACAATTCAGTAGCGAGTTGTGCGGAAGGTATGGAGTTAGACTGGGTGTTGGAATCTCAGTAGTGAGTAATCATATGCGTCGCAGCGTAAACAATGCTTTAGTTAGCGCTTCCCGTTCTCCACGTTAGAATCTCATATGCCCAGATTTGGCTGTGCATAGTTACCAACAAATGTAACTGCTGCAAGCTTTCAAGTGTAAGCAGGTTTAGGCACTCTGAAAGTACACTTTCAGAGTGCCTAAATCTGTTAGTATCTACGCATTTCGCTGGTTGTTTTTCTGCATTTAAACCTCAGAATTCGCTAGAACTTCCACAAGAATTTAATGACATGCTAATTACATATGATATTAATTATGCTTAATTTCTTTGTTATGCTCTACGTATAAGATGATGAATCAATACCTCAGTGTGCTCGTGTTTCGCATAATGGACATAACTGAGGTTTTTAACACATATCGCTGACATTACTATCACGTCTATTACGACCCCGTCCTTCTGACCCCTCAACGAATCCCCCCCCCTTAGAATAAGGCGCTCCACATCTCACACCTGACCCTGAGTATGACAAAGACTATACAGGCGATTGTCCTATGTGAATGGGAAATTGACAGCCTAGCATTGAAGAAGCTAAAATAGGGGTAGACAGCCTATAAAATCAATCAAAAACGTTGCGTTACGTCACAGCTTGGACACCGTAGACTATTTTAGGTGTTTGTCAGTGTCACTCTCACGTCGCTTTAGAAACTCAGAGAAAGAAGAGAATGTTAAGAAAGCATCCTTCTATTAGGTTGGATGAAAAATAAGTTCGGTCGTTTTTAACAGTTTGTAGATGTAGTGCAGACTAATCTGTGTATAATCTTAATTATAAGCTTAATTTAATTATAATCTATAATCTGTATATATAATCTTCATTCTGAAGATTTTAGCAAAGCTATAAGGAAAAGTTTAGAACATGCAGGCCTAAAAGACTCCTTTAGAATCATAGACGTTCCGCCTTCCAACCTTAGAAAACAACTAATTCGTAATCGCTGTTACGACCGATTATGCATGAATGCCTGTGTATAATGATTGCGTCGTCTGCCAATTTGGTCAAGCAGGCGATTGCATGGAGGCAGGAGTAGTCTACCAGATAACTTGTCAGACTTGCGGGAAACAATACATAAGAGAAACTGATAGGCCTCTGTGTGTGAGAATCAAAGAGCACCTAGATGGGCTTACAAAATCTAAATCCAACACCCCCCTAGGCGCACATCGCAGAGAGGAACACTCAGATCAACAATTTAATATAGCTGTCACAATCTTGACGCGTGAATCCGAAATTGTCGGTCGTAAAACGCTGGAAGCATTTTGGATAACATCCAAAGCTCCAGCAATGAACCGCAAGGAAGAGGGCGTTGCCATGAATATTGATCTGATCTCGTATCAGTCCCTCTGCGGATTTGATCTACACCGAGATTAGAATCATCTATATAAGGCAATTATACTGATTTCGCCACTACTAACTGTGCAGACGCTGTGTTTGGTGATTGCTCAACCCTGATTCGAAGATTGCCGAGGTACGCATTGACGATGCTTTCCGTCACTGCTTTCAAACTAACTTAATGTTGAGTGTAGCCTTGGCTTGAAGGAGGTGTTTGGGGGAACAGACCATTGATGTATGCGATCTTCCAGGCTCTGACGAAGGTGAAGGCACCGAAACGCTGGCCTGACTGTATAAAGCGTATTAACAATCTTGATTATTGGCTATAGAATACGAATACAAATCTGTGTATAGATTTATGGTAATTGGGAAGTCAAGTCGGGAAAAAAGCATGGTGAACTCTGTTTATCTGAGAAAAAAATTTTTTTAAGACGACATTGTGCAGGAAAAAATGATTGCAATTTTTTTAATTAGCTGGGTGTAGATACATTCAAGATTCACGCAACAATTCTTCACATTCCAGCGATTTGTATGGCCATAGATGATCAAATATAAGCGAGGATTACCAAAAAGTGATTTTCACGCTCAAATATTGAAAAGTTTTTAAAAAGATATTTGAAGAAATACACATACAGCAGATCAAAACTCCATTAGAGCTCGCCATGTAGCCAGAGGTTGTGTGTATTCAAACACTAGATTACTTGTCTATGCACTTATTACAAGCTAAGGACGAAACTCAGAAAGTCAAAGAGGAGGCTAGCCGCACAAGGGCATGATTTCATTTGTTGGCAGCGCAAATTTTTGACAAGATGATGTTGAGAGTAGTGGTTTGTAGCCACTTTCTTATGAAAAACTTTATTCAGCTAAATAACTGTTATGTGGATTGTTGTAACGCCTTGAAGTAACATTATTACTTATTATTATTATATTATTATAATTATTACCTAGTATTACTTATTATTATTATTACCTACCTTATTACCTTATTATTACCTTATTTATTACCTAGTTTTCTACACTGAAATTATACGAAGGCGCACTACTCAGTCAAACAATTATCGAAAACATTTTGAGGCCCTTTTTATTTTTGGAGAAACTTATTACTTAAGATATCCTTCGAATAGGACTAAATTTTACAGTTTTCAAGTATTCTAACAAGGAAAGCATATTCGATGATCGCAGCTATTTACAATGAGGTATATATCGAAGATGGGGCTTTGAATGATGGTTTGAAAATTGTCTTCCAAAACTGCGAAACTAATACATGGCTGAAGATTTTTTGAAAAGAAGAAAAGCATTACTATTAAGAATCAAATCCAACAATGCATTTATTCCTGCTTTTTTAAATGATAAATTTGGGTAAATTAGTCTAAAAAACAGTAGTTCTCTGGCTGATTTTGTTCCGTAGCATTGAGCAGTGGATTAGATCGATTAAAATGACCTCGACATTCAGAAAGGCACAGATATTTTCCAAGAAAATTTGTAACTTTCTTTCACATGACCGCTTCGCAAAAAGCGATTTGGGGCAGATTTGAAATCAATGTTTCGAGCTGCATTCTGTGATATACATCCCATTTCTAATGGCCACGGTTACCAAGTATAATTTCATTTCAAGAACCTTTCACATAATCTTTAATTCAACTGACTTGACGGTTGCAAGGCGGACTTCATGACCTAATCAATGCTAGGTAATGATCAGAGAGCACGCGCGCGTGAGAGACGCAGACTGCGTTGCGGGCACGAGCGGCCTCAATTAGTTCACAAAATCCCGCCTTCCAAAAGCCAAGCCAGTTGAATCAAAGGTTAGATTTTGCTGGTGACCAAAACATTTTTTCATCACCACGCATGGAAGCAAGCATAGTACAGCTTCTAAAGTTTTTGAAACGAGACAGTTTTTCATTGTAGACCTTATCAACGACATGACAACGAGCTGAGCACCGTTCTGCGCTATGGCAACGTATACTAGACAATCGTTTTTACTGCTTTACAATAGCTCTCCACAACTCTCGTTTTGTGTTCTTTAGGGATAAAAATATATGTTAAACAGCCCAAAATTCATTCTCCGTAAGCATTACAATGCTTTTATTTGCCCATGCCCAGCCACGGCGAGAACCCAAAAAAGAGCTTATATCTTGATAGCTTTGCCTACAATGTGCTTAGTTTCCGCGAAGGGCTCTACAGCTAACATTGAAATTAGGGAGATCTCTTTCAATCCTTGCTCATTCGCTGCTCCTTTATTGTCCAGTCATCTAACTAGCTTAAGTGAGTCTGCTAACTTTATAAGGATGTAGAAAGAAGTTGGTTCACATGTCACTCCTCAAGTTTGTTTTACTCATAAGCTTTCTAGTGAAATGGTATGAAGATGCCCTTTTGCAAGTTTTCTCAAGAGTTTTTAGAGAGTTTTCTATTTTGACATGCTGCTAATCTAAATGACCTTATCAGTTTTAGCTGACTCATCGAAAGTCAAAGCCAACTGTACTCCGCGGTGAAAGGTGTATTAGTCATTAGTGTACCCTTTTTATCCTTTTTTGCCAAAGTATGGAACTGAGACGACTTGCAATAAAGGTGGCTATAAATCTCCGGCTATCACTTCATTTTGACTACCTATATCGTCCTAATGTGTACCTGTTGAAGGATACTCGAATTAGCACCTGATATATGTACTGAGATTACCATCACCCCCAGTCGCATTCGCGCTTTCAAAGCTTCGATCCATCGTCCATTAGCTTGAAAACTGTGCTAATATAGATATGGCTACTCCAGATGTGGCTGCTGCGCCTACAGCTCAGCTATCGTGTGAAGAAGAAGGGCAAGAGACAAATGGTGGGCTTTTGTTTGCTATATAACTCATGGCTGTACAGAGGAGGTTGTTCTAATTCAGTCGCAAAGACATTGTTTAGCTTTAGACGTTTGAACGATTTTGTTCAAATTTTTCATGGATAGATTGAGTGGATGTTACATTGGCTTCAAATTATGCCGCGGAGGAGCTTGAAAATAACAATTTGCGTATCTCTTCTGCCGCTGAGGTTAGTATCCGTTACGGATGCACATTATTGTAAGCCAAATAATTTGGTACAGAAAATGCATGACTGCAGCATCTACCTCTCTCCTCTCCCTGTAGCAGAGTTCTTGATGATATCCCGTACAGGGTGGCACATTGGCATCTCATTTTTCACATATTGGGATTTGTGACCTTGAATTTTCCATTTTCTAGAGAACGATTTTTGTGCGTAGCAAAATGAGTGTTAAATGAAATTTCAGATTTGATTTTACGTCTGGTAGAGGCATGTCAGCTGCTATAAAAAAACTCGACTCTTGTTTCCTTCGATTTCGAAACTGGACTTTCGCGCAGTGACCAAGAAAGCTGCGAATGACGCTTTCATATCATCAAAATTGAAGACAGTCACTCGAGCGAATGGACTTAAAAACAGAACAATAAAAACTCCACATTGATATGATATCGCTTATTTTCTCCTTCCCCCCCCCCTCCGACCCTGACCTCGATTGACATTCAGGTTAAGCTCAGCTATTACAATACCGCTCACAGAATGTGCAAAATTTCCGTAAATGTCGCAGAATTCCGAGAATTTCGCGAACCTTCGCGGAATTCACGGAATTCTGCGACATTTGCGGAAATTTTGCACATTCTGTGAGCGGTATTGTATATTAGGTTGTTGCATAAGTTCTGTCCGGTTTTTTTTCTTATGTTTGAAGCAGCTGTTCTAAGAGAATTTTATCTCTACTGCTTTAATGTTAGTACTATTAGAAAGTGCTTTTCTTGTGTTTTCTAGAGCATATCAAATTTCAATATTTTTTCTTAGTGTAAGGAGATTTCAGGCCTAAAAACTCCGAGTGGCCAAGGTACGTTCTCACCCTAGAAATATGTTCTTGCGAGGAAATCTTTACAATGTGCCCTTCAGGTCAAGTTTTTTGATTTGTTGCGGAATAAGGGTATAGGCTAGCATACGCATATTCGTTTTCATGAAGAAAACGTCTTGCTAGTGAAATTTATTGTCAGACATTAAATTTCTGTATAGATGTTTTACAAGCTATAACTTTCTGCGAATAGAAGTAATCGACGACTTCAAAGTTGGAGGTGCTAGCGTAAAGCAAGAGCTAGCAGGGCCCATCCACCAGTTCTTTTTCGGCGCTCACATCAATTATAAAATCTTCATAACTCGTAAAAAGGTATGCACACATTGCGCTGAAGCGAGGTCAAAAAGTGGCTAATTTTTTGTTCGGTCAAAAAAATCTCTCGGCATCGCAGACCCTATGGGCTCTTTTATGGTGCGAAATAATCTGCGAAAAATTCTCTTTCCATCCATTCTTAGACAAGATGCCTATCAATTCTCATAATGGAGCATTGCTATGTCGAAAAAGACATGTTTGAAGAAAAACGTTTGTTGGAAGTTTTTGAGTTCTTGCTTCTTCCTAGAACACGGATTTTCGCAGATTTCAATATGTATGATAGCCAAGGAATTGCTCAACACGCAGAATCTAAGATCTTAGAAAAGAGTTGGCTTTGAAAGAACTCATGACATTTTGAACTCAAAAAATTCAAACCGGACATAACTTATGCAACAACCTAATATGAAGTATTCTAACAAGAGAAAGATATGTGATGACGCGGTTATTTATTTGGCTCACAAGGAAAGGAAGGCTGGTCGAAGTGGCCTTTTGATATAAAATGTGTTGGGACGCTGATTCCAAATCTACCTTTGCTATCTGCTGCGGGCTTCTGGGCGATGAGTTATGAAGGTTTTATGAGTAAAAATCTGAATGCAAGAGTAGGCTAAAATCAAACATAACATTTCTATAGGGCGTAGGTAGTGGGGTCGGTGCAACAAGTAATCTTGATTTGAATATACCAACTCGCTGCTGCCTCATTTAAACGCTGAGAAAAGGTTACGACCGATTTTACCCTACTCTTGCATTCAGATTTTTACTCACAAAAACCTTCATAATTCCTCGCCCAAAAGACCGCAGCAGATAGCAAAGGTAGATTTGGAATCAGCGTTCCGAGCTCTACAAAACACTATACATCTCATCTCAAAAGGCCACTTGGACCAACCTTCCTTCCCTTGTCAGTTACCTCCTCCGCTTTTCAAGTCGAAAATAGCCGAAACTTATGATACGTAAGATTGGTTTTAAATACGATCTTACACCCAATGGGAAGATCCGCAGCAAGAACTTTGGGCTTTCCACATTTGCGTATAGAAGACTAGCTTGCTTACCCGGCTCCGCCCGGCCCTGTGAAAACACTGCAATAAAGGTCCCATCCCTATCCCTGTACAGCCTTTCCCTGTGCCCACTTCTACACTTCTTTTCCCGTTCCCTGCGTTGTTTTCGAAATCAGCATGCCCACTTACCTCTCCTGTGCCAACTCCCAGCCGTGTAGCTCAAACTTTGCAAAAAATCGATAAAATCGATAAAAGTAATGGGCGCTTTCAAAAACTAATATTGTATTCGTAATCAGCATGCTCACTTACCCCCTGTGCCAACTCCCAGCCCCGTAGGTGAACTCTGCAAAAAATCGATAAAAATCGATATCGATCGCGAAAAGTAGCCTATGACACCCGCCGGTTCCCCGAAGTGTATGTGTGCTAAGTTTGGTCCGGATCGGTTCAGAAATGGAATTTTCTATTCGGAACATACGTACAGACATACAGACAGACATACAGACAGACACACAGACAGACAGGCAAACACACATTCAGCTTTATTTATAAGATGTAAATTCGACCTTATTATGGCGCACAAGAAAAGAAACCATATGGTGAGTGTGGTCTGGATTTTAAAACCTTTTTTCGACAAGAGTGTCCATCAAGGGGAGGATTCAGGAAGTTGATCATTTCAAGGGCAGGGTTAGGCATACGGAACTTGTTCACTTGTCGTGCAGTTTGCGACATGGGTAGATTAGTTAGGAAAGGTATGTTTCCGCTAAAGCTATCTCAGTTCAACACGGTTCTAAAGAGTTATCTACAGTCCATTAGCAGCGTTGATTCTATCGCGGTTCTATAATTTTTATTCTCACAAGATTCATATTATGCATGTGTTCTTAGTGTGTTATTCATAATACTTTTTTTGTTGTTGTTGGCATGGGTTGATCCTATGAAATAAATATTAATAAAACCTACTTCACCAAAAAGGCTCCCCCCCCCCCTCCCACCTATGACTCCTATGTTTTGATTTACGTTATTAGTTGGGATTACTAGAACCTTGTGATTCGAGCAGCTCCTGATCAAAGAAGAATTTTGTACGCGGTTTTCAAGAAGGCTGTTACGCTACTTCTTCTAACAAATTTTCTAAGTTCTAAATGATGTCAAATTTTGAGGAACACCGAAAAACAGCTGTTGCAGCATATCTGGAATAGCTTACGAGAATGCATTACGGTGAAGTGTAAGTTTTGTATTACGGTACACCTAATTGTTCTAGTAAGAGATTTCAGCCTGTTCTGTTTGCTTTCTGAATCAAAATATAACATACATTAGGCTACAAATCCTACAAGAGTAAAAAAACGTGACCAATGATGCGTCCATCATTATTATTCCAACTCAAAGCCAGGTCACGAAATAACACTGGAAGTTGCAAAAGATTTTCTATAAGAGAGATAGCAAACAGTGTGTTTATACTTTTGGGACACTTTTTTCTTAACACATTGTATTTCTGGTAGTGGCAAAATTTAACTTGTTCCATTTAAACAAACTAAGTAACGTTCACCTTTTCCAGAAGAACATGAGAGGAAGAAATCATTCAAGCGCTTACGTAAAGAATTCCGGAAAGTGAGCTCTCCCAGTGACTTGCCAGATTTCATGGCTGATAACTGCGACTGTCTGTGGAACAGGTGAGATAATTAGCCTAATCTCTTTCATCAATAAAGATAAGTGACTGTCTTTATGTCGTTTTAAGAAAGATAATGCGAGCATGCACACAAAAATGTAAAAGATTATGGGTAGTTTGCGCTATCGAAACAGTTGGAGCAGCGCTCTCGGATAGGCGAGTGCTTGGATTACTTATTAGGGTGTCTCATAACTGTTTTACCGATTTTAATTGATGCGGCTTAAGTAATGATTTGACAGAGCAAAACAAGCTCTACAGGTTAGCTACCAAGGGCCTGCCCAAATCGTATTTTTTATTGGAGTTTAAATCTGAAGTCTGATAGTGGTTAAATACAATCTTTACAGTGAAAAATCGTGTTCTTCCCGAAAAAACCTAGGAAATTTCCCATTTATCCTAGCATATGCTTGACACATCAAACAAATTGTACACTTTCCGGAATTTTTCTATGTCCAGAATTAACGGAAAAAAATGATTGGCGTAAAATGTCAACTCTAGCCTTCAATGTCCTTAGTTCCTCCCATATACGTGGTCATATCGCTCGTACATAAAGAAATAGGATAATGTATTTGTACCCTTTTTAGGTACCCCAATTTTCGAGAAATGCTAATTTTTAGGGTAAAAACGTTAAAAAATTATGAGACACCCTAATACTAGGTATTCACCAGTATCACGTCAGTCCTTTCAGCCCCTACATTCTTTCATTGTCGCCTAATCAGATCTCAAACGCAACTGTCTGCAATAACTTGCTCATGCTAAAAGTCAGTTTTAGAAAGGCAACTTGCTATGAGAATTACTAAAACCAGCAGGAATAGTAAATTCCAATCTCCACTTTTAGGATAGAAATTAATGTATGGAAGGAAAATCGATAATTAGGGCCTCTTAAAATGCTAACTTTCTCAATGTTATTAATTTCAAGCAAAAACTTCCTAGATTAGTACTTGAACGAGTAACTTATTTTGGATACAGGCTTTGAAGCATGCCGGCTCACCAAATCTATCAATTTTTGGAACTTTCCTGAAGAAGTTTCGAGTTTTGTAAGACTTTTAGATAACATTTCACAGTGGTGCAAGACGTTGACAATTACTAATAATCTTCTGCTATAAAAGGCAGATTGATGACTTTTCATACCGTATACTTTTAGGTCAGCATGTTGGAAAAAGACACTAAAGTAAGAGACATATCAAAGCACGTGTGCAGTTACTATAAATAGATGTCCTGCACATGACAGGTCGATACGGTAGCTGTGATTTTCAAAATTAAGCAAAAAATGTTTTTTTTTGAAGGCTAGACTTGATTGTGACTTAACTACCAAAAATCTTTATTGGAAAAGCTTATAAATTGTCTTTATAGCCACTATTTCATCGTATATCATCAAATATAGTTCGATTTTATGAGCTTTTTTTCTAAAAAAATATACCTTCACAAGGATTATTTACTTCATTTTATTATAAGAAAAACGCCTACGCTTTAGGCTGTATAGTTTCGTTATTGACCAGTTCTGCAACTTTTATAAACTTTGGGTTTCCACAGAGGCTTAACTATTGTCGGTTCTGTGATTGATGCCCGTCTTATTACTGTACTAACGGGCTTACCCGCCTCCGCCCGGCCCGTCAAAAACGATAAAGGTTCCATTTCTATTCCTGTGCACCTTTACCTGTGCACACTTCTACATCAATTCCCTATTCCTGTTGTGAGTAATCAGCATGCTCATCTACCTTCCTCATCAAACCCCCAGCCCCGTAGCTCAAATTTTGCAAAAAAAAACACTACGATAAAAGTAAGGATAATTCTAAAAACTGATGGCGTTATTCGGCTATCCGGGCCCGAAAATGTTTTTGTTGTGTGTCTTGCTCAGACTCGGTATGTGGGGGTTATTTAAGCCGCTGATGACATATATGGTAGTCATTTCGCGTGGCAGCGGTTAAAAATCATGAACCTGCCTGAAACCTTCGCAGGGAATTACCTAAAGTGCTGTTTCAAGAATATCGCGCTTAATCCCTATGATAATGGCAATTCGTGTGGTAAAAGTTTCCCACGACCGTAATGCTTTCTTTATAGGACCACTGCCGCGCGCGATACACCCTTCGGCGGCTTTTGCTTGAGCAAAAACAGGGGGAGGGAGATTTGCCGCGTGCTTTACACGTTGGGACAGGTTATCAAGATGGCGCTGGACGCCATGCGAAACAACCGTTTCCCCATTTCGTGAATATCTGGGATCTAAAATGGCCCGAAAGCGAAAAAATGTCCATTCAAACCCTGCAACTCACCATAACTCCACTAACTCAGGCAATTGCGTCGGAAAGTTCGCGGCCTCAAAGTGTTCTTCAAGGCACGCCGCGGCCCATATATATTTTACCGGCAACGCCACGGCCACAGTTAAAATTGGAAATAGATTATCGGGAGAGTCGCGGCCCAATCACCTCACTCGGCGAGCCGCGGGCCTTACCAAAGGCCGCACTTCTTACACGCTGTAGGTTAAGGCGCAACCAGCGTGAGGTATGCCGGATGGGGCTACCCTAAGTGTTTGTGGAGCTGGTAGTCGCTTCTCGGGTTTGGTCCTGTGTGACAGTTGAGTTTCACTTATAAAACAAACTTGTCGACAGACGAGCTACATAACAGGTTGCTTAATTTGCACTCAGTCCATGACAGACAACCCAATATTTTTTTCACTCTTCCTAGGCCTCACAAGCATGCTAATCGGGTCAACTATCGGGCGTTTACAGGATGCGCCGCGGTCACTTATCGGGTCCAACGTCGCTTTATACCGGGCAGGTCGCGGCATGGATGATTGATGGCCGAGCAAGCACCCGCGAACTTCCCGATGCAATTGTCTGAGAATGCGTTATGACAGCGATGAAGCATTATATTCATAAGCAGTATACTTGTAAACCGTTACAGGTAAGGTTTTGAGCAAATCTGGAACTTCGACCCATCTACATCCACCGTAACCAAGAAAATGCACTATCCTGCGAAATCAGCATGATATTCATGTTCAGCGTGCTAAATGACCACCCTAGACGAAGTTTAAAGCAAATCTATGTTTTCGACCCCATCCCGTATAACCACCATAACTTCATGAAAAAGTCCCAATACGCAGAGAGAGTATGAAAATCGTCAGCATGTCGAATAAGTTCTCTGGACCAAACCCCCGCCGAATTCATGATTTTCACTTCCTACCGTGCACCTACCGTACACGGGGAGACGTTCTGCGGAGAAAGTGTGATATCTGTTTTCAGCACGTAAGATAACCCTTATACACGAAGTTTGAGCAAGCACTACGACACAAAAAATTTTGGGTCCCGGATAGCCGAATAGCGCCAAACTGATATTGTACTTGTAATCAGCATGCTCAATTACCCCCCTGTGCAAACTCCAAGCCCCGCAGGTCAAACTTGACAAAAAATCGATAAAATCGATGAATGTAAACGATAATTCTGAAATTGTATTCGAAATCTCTCCATGCCAACCCCCCCCCCCCTGTGCCAACTCCCAGCCCCGTAGGCGAATTCAGCGAAAAAAATCGATATCGATCGATGACGAAAAGTAGCCTATGACACCGGAAGGGGCCCGAAGTGTATGTGTGCCAAGTTTGGTCCGGATCGGTTCAGAAATAAAAAGTTCTATTCGGAACATACGTACATACAGACGTACATATGGTTCATTTTTGAAATCGTGATGACAGTTGACTGCGGTCATTCCGCACACAGAAGGGTAAAACACCCATACAAACAGGTAACACCTCACGTTAAGCTCAGTCGCTCCCAGTCCCTGAATACTATCATACGTAAACAGAAAAACTATTCGAGTAGAGATAGAAACCAAGAATTGAGAGTGCGTGGGTGTGGCGCGCGGTTGCGCCATCGTCACGATTTTTCCTATACATACATACATACATACAAACATACATCTTATATATAAAGCTGAATGTCTGTTTGTCTGTCTGTCTGTCTGTATGTCTGTGTGTACGTATGTTCCGAATAGAAAATTCCATTTCTGAACCGATCCGGACCAAACTTGACACACGTACACTTCGGGCCCCGGCGGGTGTCATAGGCTACTTTTCTTCATCGATCGATATCGATTTTATCGATTTTTTGCAAAATTTGAGCTACGGGGCTGGGAGTTGGCATAGGGGGGGGGGTAATCGAACATGCTGATTTCGAATATAATAATGACAGGGCCGGGCGGAGCCGGGTAAGTCAACTAGTTGAGCTTATATTTAAGATTTGCAGAGCTTGTTGCAGGTCTTTTGCTCACTCTGGAGATTATTCCTATCGCCATGATTGTGATTGGAGCATTGAATGTGCATAATTGTCCTGTAAATCCGAAGATTCCCGTGTGGATGATTGTGACTGGTTCTGTGGCACTGGTTCGCGGCGTCATAAGTCTCGCTTCAAAATCCGAGGCATGTTCGAGCTAATTTATTTCACTTTCCATGAAGCACTTTGATTGAAAAACGCCGAAGAAGCAAACAAGAAAAGTAACTTCCTTTATTTCAAGTCAGTATCCCGATAAATTACCAACATCTTTTTGCAATCTTTGCTCTTTTTCCTCGAGTTAAAGGGGTTCTAGATAAGCTCAAAATTTAGCCAGAAAGGCATTGTCCTCTGCGTAAACTGTAAAACCCTCAACAGTTCAACGGTGAACGCAAGGACCGGAGTCGAATCCGTCGCCGCGATATTATGAATGTCCTATATAGCCTGTCGATCTTACCTTAGAAATTTTCTCCTTTCGAGCAATTGCAACCCATCTCGAGTGATTGATAGCCGACGCCAGTTGCAGAATAGCTTGCAGGAAAGTCTCAGGAGGTACAGGCAAGCCAAGATACTGGAAGAAGCCGAAGGAAGACGAAGTCTTGAGAAGTGCCGCAGCAGAGGTGCGATGGGTAGAGCCGGCCCCCCCCCAAAAGTGAAGGTGGTTCCAGCTAGCACTGGCTAGCAAAAGTGAAGGTGGTAGTACCGGACACTCACCTCTCAAAAACGTTGACCGGGGGGGGGGTAGGAAGGGGGAGCATAGGACGGACTCTGGGTTTGGGTTTTTTTGGGGTTGGTTTGGGTTCTTGGGGTTTTTTTGGTTTGGGTTTTTTTCGGACTTTTGGGTTTTGACTTTTTTTCTTGAAACTGAAAAAAGGAAATTAAGCAAAACGAACGCAAAAGAAAGTATTGAGAGCACATTCTATGTAGTTTACTTTTAGGAAGTCGCCGTCGCCTACTGCGAGCACCTGGAGGCCATCATCGACATGGACGCATATACGCCTCAGCACTTTCTACGATAGAGCAAAGCTTCATGATGACTTCGGATAACTGAAGAGCTCTAACCCAACGGTCTTCTTTAGGGCCCATAACTGTGACCCAATGGCCTTCTTTAGGGCCACATATACGATGAGGACAATCAACTGCATAAATATTTTAAATAAACGTGCTAATAAAATAGTGTATTTAAGAGTGATACTCAGCTAAACTTTGTGTGTTTTATCAAGTACATTTTTTATGATGTACTGCGAAGAAAGTAGGTCGATCCAGGCAGTAATCGCCGAGAACCAGAATTTCGAATGATAAAATAATGCAAAATCGTGCGATGATTCCACTGTTATAAATCTGCTGGTTGAAGATGTCAGCAGTTGCAACTTCATGGGTTTTGAAGGGTAAGTGTTGTTCTACCAGAATGAAAGAATCAGTATGATTTGAGGCGTGGCCGCCGAGAACGAGAATTTTGAAAAATTACGCGATTTTAGGTTGCTTGATTACAGCTGACATACAAACTCTTATGAATTCGGACTTTGAAGGTGTGTGATGTTGCGACTTCATAGGTTCTGTAGAGTTATGTGTCCTTATCAGAATATGTTTTAATTGTACCGATCCATCAAAGCATCGCCGAGATCCAGGCTCTTGAAAAAGCAGGTAAAAAAGCGCTTTTGAAATTCAACAGCTCATAACTTCTTCAGAACTGCATGAATCATGCTGCGACTTCATAGGTTAGATTCTCCTCTTCAAGAGCTTTCAGATGATTATAGCATATGAAAGATTCATGCCTCCCACGACATGTGCCCGGGGTAGACTTTTCATTACAAATTCTCCACTGACGGCCTTTAGCCAATACATTGAAATGGGCGATGTGGAGAATTAATGGTGAAAAGTCTCCTCCCCCGGACACAAGTCGTAGGAGGCCCTAAACCCCCACATATTATATATCGTCTGAAAGGTCTTGATGCGTATGAAGTAGCAACATGATTCATGCAGTTCTGAAAAAGTTATGAGTTGTTGAATTTCAAAAGCGCTTTTTTACCTGCTTTTTCAAGAGCCTGGATCTCGGCGCTGTTTCAATGGATCGGTACAATTAAAACATATTCTGATAGGACAAACATAACTCTACAGAACCTATGAAGTCTCAACATCACACACCACTTTCAAAGTCCGAATTCATAAGAGTTTAAATGTCAGCTGTCATCAAGCAACCTAAAATCGCGTAGTTTTTCAAAATTCTCGTTCTCGGCGGCCACTCCTCAAATCATACTGATTCTTTCATTGTCTGGTAGAACAACACTTGCCCTTCAAAACCTATGAAGTCGCAATTGCTGACATCTTCAACCAGAAGGAACAGTGGAATCATCGCACAATTTTTCATTATTTTATCATTCGAAATTCTGGTTCTCGGCGATTGCTGCCTGGATCGACCTCCTTTCCCGCAGTACTCATAACAAAATGTACTTGATAAAACACATAAAGTCTAGCTGAGTATCACTCGCAAATACGCTATTTCATTAACACGTTTGTTTGAAATATTTATGCAGTTGTACTCATCGTATTTGTAGCCCTAAAAAGGGCCGTTGGGTTAGAGCTCTTCAGTTATCCGAAGTCATCATGAAGCTTTGTTCTATCGTAGAAAGTGCTGAGGCGTATTGCGTCCATGTCGATGATGGCCTCCAGTGCTCGCAGTAGGGGACGGCGACTTCCTAAAAGTATACTACATAGAATATGCTCTCAGTACTTTCTTTTGCGTTCGTTTTGCTTAATTTCATTTTTTCAGTTTCAGCAGAAAAAATCAAAGCCTAAAAGTGAAGGTGGTCATACTGTACCAGCTCAAAGTGAAGGTAGGCGGAGAATCGGCTCCGACTCGCACCTCTGCGCCGAAGAGACCTCTGTGAATATCACGTGCAGCTGGCTGCACTATCGAACGAAGACGGGACCCCGACTTCCTCCCGATATAAGATGGAATCTATCGCGAAGAACTTCTACACCAACCTCTTCCGCTCATAAACACCCGTGCCGACGCCGGTTGTTTCCGCTGGAGAAGTACCACCACGAATTCTACCTCTTGAAGTGCCAGTAACGATTCAGTATGAAGACGTCTACGGCTCTAGGACCAAACCATCTTTCCGTCAAATTTCTGCCAAGCCGGAGGAGAACTTCTACACGAGATTCTCGCGTCGCACCTGGCATCTTATCTTCAAAAGGAAAGGATTCCCGACCAGTGAAGAACAAAGAAGCGTCTCCTCTTCAGAAAGGGTGAACGGGAGGGTCTTTGGAACTACCGTTCAATTTGTCTGCTGAGTGTGCTGTACAAGCTTTTCACGAAGATTATTCTCGCTCGCATATCTAGGAATGGAGCTGAACCCCAAGAACGGGCTTTCGCAAAGGATTCAGCTGCATACACCACATTCAGCGGTTTCGAGGGTCATAGATGTCTGCCAGGAGTACCGACTGCCTTTCGTCCTAATCTTCGTCGACTGAAGCCTTTGACAGCGTCGAAACCAACGCCATCCTGTCAGCGCTAGTCGATAAAGGGGACCCAGCTTACGTGAGGACGTTAGCCGACTGCTACAAGAACTTACAAAGACGATGCAGCTATTCCATCGCCGCTGACCATCCCAGTCGGAAAGGAGGTCCGAGTGACACACCTCGCCTGCTGCTCACCACGGCTTTGAAGGGGGTGATGAAGTCAATGAACTGGAGGAGAGAGGCGTACGAGTTGATGGGATATTCCTGTCGAACTTCCTTGTGCAAACATCATTCTCTTCTCGAGCAGTATCGCTGAAGAGACGATGCTGGGAACTTAACACGTTGACGACAGTGTCGCGCAATGGTGCGCGACACCCTAAATGCCAGTTCTATTGTGCACAATGGTTTCAATTTGTGTTCACGTAATCAATTTTGGCTCAGAATTTTTTCATGGTGGCCCCGCCCCTGTTTTGGCAAACTCCGCCCACTCCGTTGCCTTCGACAAAAAACTTTTTTTGTTCTCAAATCGCCTAGAAAAGCTCGTAGATGACTGGAGAACAGGGTCAAGCAAGGGGTGTGGCACACGATCGCTGGTTACGACCCCCCCCCCTTGATTGCTGTCTTAACACGTTTCGGACCGCGAAATCGCGCGCGGCGAAAAAGAGTGTACTATTTTCAGCCGTTAGCCTACAAAGGGACCTTATTTTGTAGCCTGTGGGCCATATTTGTAATCAGTATGTAAAATAAGCTCCATATCAAGAGTTCTGAGTGAATTCGCAGTGTCTGAATTTTGTCGCTGGGAGGGACTTTTGTGCTTTCTTAAAAGATAGGAACAAGAACTCAGATTCTAATAGTATTCAAAAGTATTTATGTTGTACACGGTACACATCAATATTGAAACTACGGTTTTCCTCTTTGATATCGAAGCAAAGGAAAGTTGCGACGTCGCACGCGTCGTTCGCGTCGCCGCACTTCGTTGCAACTGTTGTTCGATATGTGCTCATATATCCTAAATAATATCGGCGGCACAACTCTACAGAGTCCTTTGAAAAGTAGGAGCTTAGACCTTTGACTTAACTCTTGGAACTGAAAGGAAACCTCCTGCAAACGCCAGAAAGATCCTTCAAAGCGGCGTGCTGCACCATGTGCAGTACCGGTCCGAAACGTGTTAATAAGACCCCTCCTAAATTATATACCTAAGATAGCATTACCTGAAGGCCCTGTCAAACATAATGGGCAACATTTCCATAATGAGCATGTCATTTAACCTCTGTAAACAAAGTTTGAGCGAATTCTGAAGATTGAAGATACTAGACTAAGTGAAATGGTCATATTCCAACATGGTTAACTTTGTTTCAAAGATGAATTAGCTATCCGCTTTTGGGCTCAAGGCAAAGCACTACTCCTTCTTTGTCCATCTCAGAGTGCCACTTTAAAAGACCTCCAAACTGTGGAATTAGAAGCCAACCAACTCATTTTTCCCATTTTCCGCTTTTGATGGCTGTGCTTTCACCAACTATTACTCAGAATGAAGAAAACGAATCAGGCTCAAATCACTCCTGTGAAAACTAGGACGTCTAGGCTATCAATCCAGATAAAAAAGGTTTGTTAAAGATGTTTTTATGACATAGCTAATGGGGTGTGGCCCACCCCCTTAAAAGCTGTGGCTCCACAGCTTTTAAGAGGATGTGCCACACCCATCAACTACATCAAAAAAGCATTTTTAACGAACAGTATTTGTATGTATCGGTAGCCTAAACTTCGTAGATTCCATAGGGGCGGGGCTTTAAAAGTAGGCGGAGCTACTTCGCCCACTTGCATTTTTGTACCTCACCCATAGATGCATACATCCATACATGCAGCCGGCTGTGGAAATGCTCGGAAACGGTTCGTCCGCAAGGGCGGACGTCAAAAAAGCAGCTCGTCGTCAACGTGTTAACGAAGTAGGGAAGAAGATCGGATTGCGAGTAAGAAGACTAAGAAGACTCAGTTCATGAAGAATGCACTTTGCGAAGATACAGAAATGGAATTGGAAGGCACCTCCATCATAGAGACGTCTTCTTATTAGTATCCGGAGGATGAACATGGAGAACGACTTGAGGGAAGAACTTAACAGAAGAGTTGCCTGGGCGCCGCTTTCGGGCCTCTAAAGGGAGCCACCGACCAACTGGCGGATCTGGAGCTTCGTGCCTACCTGTTCGAGTCGGTCCTTCTCGCGGAGCTTGTTACGCAGCTAGAACTTGGCCTGTCACCGTGCCACGGAAAGCTCCAATAACCACCCACAGAGCGTAGAGCGCAGTCTCTCGAAGATGACCCCCACACAAACAACATCTTGTCGGACTTCGCAGTACAGAAATGGAAAATTCCCGTCTTCGTGACCCAGCGTACGTTGCGAAAGCGAAGCACCGATGGACCGGTCACATTATGAGAAAAACAGACGACAGATGGACACCAGGAAAATCAGAATAGATTCCTTGCGAAGCAAAACGTTCCAGAGGAAGGCCTCTAACGAGATGGGCAGACGTGTTCGTGGAACGGATGGACCAGCTGAGAAATCAGCTGGATACGATTTGCGCACCTGGAACTCGTGGACGGCCACCGACTCAGCCAAGAAGATCGTGGACGTCCGAGGCGAGGGACAGGGATCAAAAGAAACTTCTGTGTTCGGGCCCGCACGTCACGTGAAGCCGGGCTATCTAAGTAATCTAAGTCTAAGTAAGTGATATAGGCAGTCTCAACCAGCAGTAGTCGCAGTCACGCTGCGCATCTCGTCGGCTTTTCTTATTGTGCACAGTTCGAGTATGAGCATGTCGCTTGGAATGTGCTGCTTTACAAGCTTTTTCGAGTTGGTTTATTAGGTTCAACACCTCGTTAATCTCATTGTGCAAGTAAGGTTTTTTTTGTTTTGGTGTTCTCAGTAACACGCCTAATTTCTATATCTTTGTGACTCATATCTGTGCACCATCTCTAAACAAAAATAATAACTTCTTTGCTCCCAATTTCATTTGACGCTCATGCTTTGATCTGCTCGCCGCGACCATTCTCCCGATCAATCATGATTTTCTACGGCCTCAACTTTTGCGCTTAAAGGCAGCGTCCACTCAGAATTTCGGCTCCCATGTTTTTGCCATTTTTTCCAACCCCCTTCCCCCAAATACCCGATTCCTGGGGACCCCGCTTGAGGGAAGGACAAGTTTCGAATTACTAGCGTCTATAGGCATGCCAGCGAGGAAGAGCTGCAATGGCATGGATGCAGTTGCAGCACCTTAAGGCACTTGTCCTCACTCGGAGGTTCGTGATGCCAAAGGGTGTGATACGTATCATAGGCCCGTGCCTCCTTCGAGGGTACATCAAAGGATCGGACCAACACAGATCGTATATCCCCGGGGATACGCTTGACAACTACTAAGATAATCGTCGGGGGCAGGTGGTCCGCAAACTCGCGCTTTCTGCAAGCGGTCAGCAGAATTTTGGGGCGTGGCCAAACCTTCAGCGAGCGGCACTTCCTTTGCGGTTGCATATCTGCCAGCGGGCAGCAACACAGCATTTTATGCAAGCGCGCGGCAGGTCATTTCTTTCAACGAGCGCTGGTCATACTTTCAGCAAACGCTCGGACTCTTTTTATGCAGTTTCGGGCGTACGCCGAGAAAAGATGAGACTCCATGGGGCAGAGGTGTCATCGATGGTTTGATTATCCAAGTTTGGGGTACCTTCCTTCAGCGGAAAGTACCTTGGGCAGTGCGGTCCTCCACAAAAGACCCTGCGGCCCCCAACAAATTTGCATATTCTCGCGGAAAGTCCGCGAAAATGCAGCCACTGGGCCGCAACTTATCCATAGAAAGACCGTAATAGTTCTTCGAGCGTTCATCCAAGAACTGACCAAAAATGTTCCAAATTTCTGCAAGCGGTCCGCGAAAAATCAGCGATCTATTTTTCCGGTGCCCGCTTGCTCAAAATTCGCATGGCCGCCTGCCCCGGCGATTGTCTGAGTATGTGCTAATCTGAGTGGGATGGATTTTGAGCGGGCTGCTTACAAAGGCGTCCCGGCAAAGTCATAGATCTTGAGATTGCACAGCGTTGCATCAGTAGACTTCCTTCCCGAATAATCTATCAATGAAGTTTGGAGGGAAGAAAGCGTGGGAGGCCCAAAATCCATTGCAGAAGTCTTCCGGACTCCGCCCCTTGTGCCCGACCCCGCCCACCTAAGCGTAATTTTGAGCGAGCGCGGACTCAAAAAGCATAAAAATAGCTCATTTCAGCTATTTTCATGCGCTAAAAAGTCTAATATGGTCTTAGCATGACGAAAATGCTGCGATAAGGTCAAAATCTGGAAGGCATTTCGCCAGGACACTGCCTTTATGTGTTCCTGCAAAATCTCATTACCTCTACGTGCCACTCTACGTACGTGCCACTCTTAGCTAACCATGAGGTAGTTGCGACCAGGGTTAAGCAAGAGATGTGGCACGCGATAGGTGGTTACGACCCCCCCCCCCCCTTCTAATAGCTTTCTCAATGAGACCCCCTCCCCCTGAAGTATATACCTAAGATAGCATTACTTGAAGGCTCTGTCAAACATAACGGGCAACATATCCATAATCAGAATGTCGATTAACCCCTGTAAATACACTTTGAGCGAATTCTGAAGTTTCAAGATAATTCGTCATTTTCCAAAATGATTAATTTTGTTCCAAAGGTGAAGTATCTACCTGTTTTTGCACTCAAGGCAAAGCACTACTCCTTCTTTGTCCATCTCAGAGATGCCACTTCAAAAGACCTCCAAACTGTGGAATTAGAAGCCAACCAAAATCTCGTTTTCTCCATTTTTCGCTTTTGATGGCCGTGTTTTCATCAAATATTACTCAAAGCTAAGAGACGAATCAGGCTCAAATCATCTTTATAAAATCTACGAGGTTTAGGCTATCGAATCGTTTAAATATTGTTCGCTAAAAATGTTTTTTGATATAGTTAATGGGGTGTGGCACAACCCCTCAAAAGCTGAATTTCTAAGGTGGACAAAGGAGTAGTGCTTTGCCTTGAGTGCAAAAACAAGTAGATAGTTCACTATTAGGGCAAAATTAATCATGTTGGAATATGACGATTTCACTTAGGTGGCCTAGTATCTTGAAACTTCAGAATTCGCTCCAATTATGCTAAGGTAGTCAAAATCACACGTTTTTACTTCGCATGGTGGGTCACCTGACAAACCGCTTAGGCCTCGGACAGAGTTCACGCGATTTCATCGCTGCGATTTAATCGCCGCAATTTTCATTCATTTTCATTTTACAATCAAAAATTTTGAGCTGGAAAAGCATCACAACCAAAATGCAAACTAATCGGCATGCAATGAACTCGTAACAGTTGTCTTGTCGCGAAATCGCGACGATAAAGTCGCGTGAACTCTGCCCGTGACCACACGAATATCACTATTATCAGTTTACTCAACTACGACTCCCTCCCCCCGCCCTCCTTTCCTTTTGACTCGTCAATACGACCCCCAGGTGTGGCGTGTCTGACCCTGGCTGCGACCAGTCCTTGCTAGAAAAGTCTTCAGTGTTGGCGCTGCTGTGTGCGTTAAGATATCTTTTTTTATTTCTTAGGATGACTGATCGCCGGCTCTGAATCCACCGCTACGTTGATTGAAGAAAAAAGATTTCTTAGAATTAATCACTTTCAGGAGAAAAAGTCGCCGGTCCTAGTGGCAATTGGCAGATTGTTCGCTTTGTTTTCCCTAATTTGGTAAGTTTGAATTTACACGATCTGCGCGCAACGATCATCTATTTATTCAAAGAAAAAATTTGCTAGAACTCATTTAAACGCATTTAGCGTCCTTAGTGAATGCGGTTCATAACAAGTGTAAATGCTGAAAAATAAACACTTGGTTTTAGGTGATCCGGGGAAATGGCAGTAGCTAAATTCTTGATCCACAATTTACAAAAAAACGTAATGAACGTGGAACCACATTAAAACCTTTTTGAAAGGCGTGATCTTGTTTTTCTTGGAATATTTTTTTTCGTTTTTGCTGTCACTTCTATATGCTTTGACACAATAAGCACGTTGACGATCAGCAATTTTGGACCACATCAAGATGGACTGAATTTCTATTAGGGTGTTTCACAATTTTTTAGCGTTTTCACCTCAAAAATCAGCATTTGTCGAGAATCGGGGCACTTGCGACAGGTACAAATACATGATCGTACTCTGTGTATCTGAGTATATGACCACGTGCGTGGGAGGAGCTCAGGTCAAACGGTTCATTTTACTCCAATCATTTTTTCCTTATTTCCAACCATGGAAGAAATACGAAAAAATGGTGAGTGATTTAGAAAGTAAATTTGGAATATCTTGAAATATTCTTTCTCAAGTTGTGGACTTCCATCTCTTTGTTTGTCTAAACGTACAATCAAATGTTCGATGTGTCTAGCACATGCTAGGATAAATGAGGAATTTCTTAAGGTTTTTTGGGGCGAAAAATGATCTTTGAAGGTATTCGTCTTCGACTGCTATCAGATTTCAGCTCAAAACTTCACTTGGAGTACCATCTTATAGAGCTTGCTTTTCCCTGTCTAATAAAAAAGTTGTCTAGAAACGGTAACCAGCCTAATAATTGTGCAGTCTAAACTCCCGAACAACTACCGCGATGTCCTATGTTCCAAGTGTTCTATATGATAATCGGACCACCGGTATTATTACAGCATAGAAGTTACCCCGAAACTCTTCGTTTGCACATGAAAATGATGCATGAATGTCTAAACGGAAATCAGAACGTGCATATGCGTGCGTGCATACGTCGTCAACGTATTCAAATTTTTTTTTTGGGGGGGGGGGAAGGGTTTCTAGCGCTCACAATACGGCACGCAATGTATAGTCACAGAAAAAGGCCATAATCGTGGAAGTACTCATTCCATGTAGATGCAGACCTTTCTGTATTATTTTCTAAGACGCTAATATAGGCCTTGCAAAACCTATTTGCCGCCATGCCTTGAACACCGGCGTAAGCGAGCGGTGGCCGCGAGCGACGTAGGCTTCACTATTTTTAGAAATTTTCCGTCAACTTCCATGTCGTTTTTCAGCCCTGTAAAGTATGTTTTGACGAAAAACTCCTTTAAAGCCTTTAAAAGTGTAAAAGCAGTGCGCGCTCATTTTCGCTTGCAACAAGCCTGAAGCGCTTCGGGACCCAACGTTTCCGGCCGCCCCGTACGTTGGTATACAAAGCGACGCGTAGGCAATTGGATTTCGAAGGCCTGCATGTAGGTGACCCGGCAATCCTTGTAAGCACCCCCAAAATGGAGGGTTGCGAGCCTTAGGATTGCGAACAGCCAAATGAGCACGAAAAACATTCTGCGTTTTAGAAATGCGGGATCGATGTGTAATTCGTAATAAGATTCTCGAAGATTGGGGTCAATTTCCAGAATGTTCATAATTCCAAGGTCTGAAATGAGTGCAAACCTACGCGACGTTTACACTTCATATGACGTAAATCAAGAGATTGCAGAACTTTTTCCTAAATGGACTGGATTATGACATACAACGTCTAGAACATAGGGGAACTAATACTGCGCTATCGGGTTTGCTCACAAGGAAATGGTCAGAAGTCGAAGTGGCCAAACCAAACAAGCTGGATATCATTAGATGCAGTACGAAACGCTGACTTCGAATCTTTCTTCCTTATCTGCTTATCGCTTCTGTGGACGAAGCTACAAGCAGTTTTATTGTGAAAAAATCATGCATAAAAACAGCGAAATTAAGCGCATTGTTGCACTTTTAGCTCAGCTTCAGGCTTCAAAAATTTCAAGTAACTTAGCTGCATGTTTTGGCCCACATTAAGGCGAACGTGGCTCTGTACGGCTAAATTTTTACTTTCACGCATAATTTCTTAGCAAAATAATGGCATTTAACGGCTTATGGCTTCCTCGAGAAAAGCGATAAGCAAGTAAGGAAAACAGATTTAGAGTCAGCGCTTCATGCTGCATCTAAAGGTATGCAGCTTGTCTGGATTGGCCACTTCGATTCTATTCCCTTGTCAGAATGCAATTCCCTGTTAAATTACTAAAACGAGTGCTGCAAGCTAGCGTATCGACATCACCATTTTTCATCGGTAAACACTGTGTCACGACCACGTGAAAGTCAATCAGTTACCATCAAAGTGTAACTAAGTGCGTAGCCGATTTTATCCTATTCATTTAAGCGCATAACTCAAACTAGCCGAGCGAAGCTAAAGAAACTGAATTTTGATGGTTACTAATGGGACTGGCGATGCACCATCCACAGCTAGGGACTAGAAAATCCGACAGACAATGCTTTTCAGTGCGTCGTTTTATATGTTTGTGCGTTTATTCTCATTGCTTGAGGCCTTTGATTTGGGCAAATGCGCATACATAGGAGAGCTGATCATGCTCTTCATACTACCTAATATCTGTAAACAGCTGACGTGCTTAAAATCTTATTCTTCAAGAGTGGAAGTCTCAAAGAAAAAAAGAAGCATTTTGCTAGAGGCAAAACAATTTACATAGCTAACACAATCCCAGTGTACCGTCTGAACAGTTCCCTAATGCAAAAAAGACCTAATAAACAGGTCCAAAAGTATCTTTGCATTATAAAATACGGCTTCATAAGGCACGCTGTCAAAACTGCCCCGCAAGACCTGACTAGAGTACACTGATATTCAGTGTATGCTCATCAGACCTTGCTTACCAGACGATCATTTGCCCTCTCCCTTGCAAAATATGAACAATGCATGTTTTTCTAAACGGTATCGCGCGCTGCTTAGATGACTTTTTGCCAGTTCCAATGTGTTTGGTGAAATTTTGTTAAAAATCTGGCAGCAAGGTGGCACAAGCTTGTGCGCTTCCAATGCATACATTATCTACTGAATTCTGACTAAATTCTGTTATTTTGTTGGCTTATGAAAATGGTACGAAATTATGCGACCCAAACGTATTTATTCATTTATGTGATACACGGGAAGGTGTGCCAAAAGTACGGCACATAAAGTAGAAGGTAGTACAACAGCAAAAATATAGATACAGAAAACTTGGTACAGGCAAAGTTCCTCCAAAAAGTAGATAAACCAGGTTTTTCTCTTGGGTGAACAGGTCATTAGGAGAACGAGTATGGGGAGTGACGAATCTTTGGAAGCGGGGTCTTTGACCGAAATCCCAGCTCAGACGCATATTGAAATAACGTTATGCCAGGGCTCAAATAACCAACCTAACGCAAAGGGAGAATTTGCCAGGGACCCTGGGCGAACGAGCTAGGGGACCCAGGGCCCGGCGGGGGTGGCGCTTTCATAAGCTGGATATCGGCCCCGGACCCCAAAATACGACTTCCCCTTCGTTTACCGCAATGCACATATCATTCTTTATTCATCATTCCTTGTTGATGCTACTGTCCTTATGAACTTAGATTCCAGCAATGTGAAGATTCTGTGCTCCGATCGCTAGCCTGCCCGCAGGCGGGAATTCAAATCGCAATTCTTGTAAGAGGAAAATAACAAAATATGCTCGTTTTTAATGCACAAGTAACAATATGGCACCAAATTTGCTGTGTAGTTGGAGGACCATGAGCACAAACAAAGTATGAAGAATTATGAGGAACTTATGTGAATTTAAAAAATGGTAAGTGTTTTTCGAAATTAGGTGGCGCCACCTGGGAGCCACCTGGGGTGGCTCCCTGCTTCCCTTCACAATTTCCCGGATTTCTTTTCATAAATGTGGACTAGGTCGAGAGTACTACTATATGTATATGTACTATACTACTATATACTATATATACTATATACTACTATATATACTATATATATATACTATATACTATATATACTACTATATACTACTATACTACTATATACTATATACTACTATATACTATATATACTATATACTATATACTATATATACTACTAGCTGGCTTACCCGGCTCCGCCGTACCCGGACCAAACTTGGCACACATACACTTCGGGCCCCGGCAAGTGTCACAGTCCACTTTTCGTTATCGATCGATGTCGATTTTACCGATTTTTATCGATTTTTTTGCAGAGTTCACCTACAGGGCTAGGAGCTGGCACAGGGGGGGAAGTGAGCATGGGGATTCCGAATACAACATTAGTTTTCAGGATCGTCCATTACTTTTATCGATTTTATCGATTTTTTTTTGTAAAGTTTGACCTGCGGGGCTGGGAGTTTGCACAGGGGGGTAATCGAGCATGCTGATTACGAACACAATATTAGTTTTCAGGATCGTCCATTACTTTTATCGATTTTATCGATTTTTTTTGTAAAGTTTGACCTGCGGGGCTGGGAGTTTGCACAGGGGGGTAATCGAGCATGCAGATTACGAACACAATATTAGTTTTCAGGATCGTCCATTACTTTTTCGATTTTATCGATTTTTTGAAAATTTGAGCTAGGGGGCTGGAATTTGGCACAGGAGTGTAATCGAGCATGCTGATCACTCCCCTTGGGGGTGATCAGCATGCTCGTTTACCCCCCTGTGCCAACTCCCAGCCCCCTAGCTCAAACTTTGCAAAAAATCGATAAAATCGATAAAAGTAATCGATAATCCTGAAAACCAATATTGTATTCGGAATCCCCATGCTCGATTACCCCCCTGTGCGAACTCCCAGCCCCGTAGCTCAAACTTTGCAAAAAAATCGATAAAATCGATAAAAGTAATCGATAATCCTGAAAACCAACATTGTATTCGGAATCCCCATGCTCGATTACCCCCCTGTGCCAACTCCCAGCCCCGTAGCTCAAACTTTGCAAAAAAATCGATAAAATCGATAAAAGTAATCGATAATCCTGAAAACCAATATTGTATCCGGAATCCCCATGCTCGATTACCCCCCTGTGCCAACTCCCAGCCCCGTAGGTGAACTCAGCAAAAAAATCGATAAAAATCGATAAAATCGATATCGATCGATGACGGAAAGTAGCCTATGACACCCGCCGGGGCCCGTAGTGTATGTGTGCCAAGTTTGGTCCGGATCGGTTCAGAAATGGAATTTTCTATTCGGAACATACGTACACACAGACAGACAGACAGACAGACAGACAGACAGACATACAGACAAACAGACATTCAGCTTTATATATAAGATACTATATACTGTACTGTACTACTATACTACTATACTACTACTACTATACTACTATATGTACTATATGTTCAAATCCCTTCCAAAACCACCAAGGCACCGCTTCGATTCCCTGCTTCCCTTCACAATTTCCCGGATTTCTTTTCATAAATGTGGACTAGGTCGAGAGTACTACTATATGTATATGTACTATACTACTATATACTATATATACTATATACTACTATATATACTATATATATACTATATACTATATATACTACTATATACTACTATACTACTATATACTATATACTACTATATACTATATATACTATATACTATATACTATATATACTATACTATATACTGTACTATACTACTATACTACTATACTACTACTACTATACTACTATATGTACTATATGTTCAAATCCCTTCCAAAACCACCAAGGCACCGCTTCGATACAGCCCCAAATAGGGTTCACAGCGTTATGATCGGCCTCGGAAAGCGCGCTCCAATCGCAATCGGTTATTGTAAATTGTAAAGTTTCGCAGCTGACTAATAAATGAGTAGTATCTTAGATATATAAACGTCAAAGTTTTTGCAAATCTTGACCCTACGTTTTTTTAAAGATTCCTTTGCGGATGAACCCATTGAGCTGAAACCTTGATGACCCGGGCTGGACCAGGAAAGCCAGGTAGTACTACTATAATAAGCGCTGAGGCCGCCCATCTTATTATTTGTGTATATCTGTTTGTCAGGGACTTACGGGGGTCAAAAATAGGGTCAAAGGGGAAGTCGTAAGAAATTTTGGCTTCAAAGGGGATATCGTTTTCAAAATTCTGAAATGCCACCTCCTGCCGGGCCCTGAGGGGACCTCAAGGCGAAAGGTCCGCCAGACATCGGATTCCTTGAACGACTATTCCCGTTAAAGAAAAGCGGTAAAGAGCAGATGGCGGAGACTAACCATAAGCAGAGCGTGAATGCAAGGGAGGGGCATCATGAGAATAAATCTCTATCTCCTGAAGCTACGCAAGTCTAAGTTACACGCTACTTAATTTGACGTGTTCTCATTGGACTGTTTCTTTTCTCAAGTTGTTTTTGTTTCTTTGATGTTGATTGAATCTAAAATGTTATGATTATCTAATACCAATGTTGAGCATGCTTCCAACAAGAAGAAATGACTAACTGAGTTGGGATAAAATGTTGAAATTCTAGACGAATTCCGACTTTGATTCGTGGTTCATCGTGAGCTTTATCACTTCAAGTCTTATCTCTTTTTGAAAAAGCTCAAGATAAGGACTATAGTCATACAAATCAAAATGGATTTATTAGGCTGCTAAGATCTGTCCGAAATTTTTGCCTTGTGTTTGGAGCAGCTCTTGATTCATGTTCACGCAACTTTTCGTTTCATCCGAAAGCGTTTTCTTCTGGTACATATTGAATTTCATAAGAATCTCCAGTCCAACAAGATTGCGGGTAATTGAAAAATGATTTTTATTGAGAAACGTGTTCTTGCAAAAAAAATCTCCACAATGCTTCCGCCAAGTTAGGTTCTTTTGATGGTCACCAAATGGGGGTATAATAGGCTGACATGAGCACTAATTTTGTCGAAGTTCAATGCTTTACATAGATTTTCTACAGCGAATAACATTCTTTGAATAAAGGCAATAGATGAATCGAAGGCTGTAAGTAAAAGAAAGCGAGAGCTACGAGATCCCACATCCAGTAATTCTTCGACGCTGGAGGCATTTGCAGAAATTTCAAAAATTGAAAGAAGGCCACAAATGCATGCACAAAAGCGGTTCAAAAAAATCGTACTTTTTTGTTTGCTTGAGATAATCCTTACTCAGAGGTTTGACCCTTTCGGCTGTAGAATAATCTACAAGATCTTCGCTATCCATTGGCGGCTATTGGTATGCTTGCCAATTTTTATAAGGGAGAAGCACACTGTGTCAAAGAAAGGCGTGTATAAAGAAGAGACTTCAAAATTTTGGCAATTTTGGTGTTTCTACAGTAGTGTTTTTCTCCGGCGTATTACCTTTCTGATGATCATAAGCTGCTTCATTCAGAAAAAGTTGAGGTTATCAAGAAAAAGTTGATTTTGAAGAATGTTATGATATTTTGAACTTGAAAATTGCAATTGAACAGAACTTAACCTCGAGTCATTTATAACTTAATATGTGAGATTGCACACTAAGCCGTATTAGCGACGGCTCCCATACTAGTAACTTCTCAGTAAAACATTTTCTAGCGTGACAAAATTTAAAATGTGTTCTACTGACTAAAACTAACTAAAACAAAAGAAACAAGAAAACAATGAGAAATCAATGGAAATGAAGAGGTTCTAGATTCGCAGTTCGTCAGTTAGCGTGTATAGTGTACATTACGCATATTAAGTTGCGAATGACTCAACGATATGCAGCGGCCTGTTACATCACTATACACGTCTTCAAACGCTTATTCTGTTTTACTCTTCTGCTGAACACTTTCCGAAAAAAGTTGAGCTTGTTATCGATTTTCTCTTTGAGCGTGTCCATGATAAATAATGGTAAATGAAATAAAAAGTTATGAGCGTTTCGAAGTCCGATTTTGTCAAGTCTTGGATGGCATTTACTGCAAACTCTACAGAAACAGCTGTGCGGATTTCCACTGACTGTATTCCTTCCCTGTGGTCTACTTGATACAAATTTATAATCTGCAGTCAGGTGTTATTGAACATTTCTAGGAGAGTTATACCGCAGAAAATGAAAGCAGATTAAGAATCGGCGTTAGAAGGGACGCCTCTAAAAACACACATTTTACAATTTGCAATCACTTAGCATTGTTAAATCAGATGATCAGTTTTTCTGTTGTCATCAACTTTATAAAGAGATAGACGATTTGAAGAGAGACGATCAACTGTAAGGGACAACCAGTTTATCCTATTTTAGAAAAACCTCGCGTTTATATGCTTTTCTTCCATATGCTTATAAAGATGGATAGGCAGGGTGGGATACAGCTGTCATATAAAGCTTTTTGTTTAGCTGTGTTTTTTTTTAAGCTAACATGTTTGCATACGGCTCTTATTGTTAGTTGAGTCGCAAAAGTTACATATGTAGGAGTGTAGAGTGTCAACTTCCAAAATAAAATTGGCGGAACATACTAGATCTTGCTAATTAACAGAGCCGAATGCGAACTACTAGTGCATCATTCTTGCATTAGATGCTGCAAATACATTTTTTTCAGGCTTATTTTGGGCTCCATATGGGTCTACTCGGCGTACAGTTCCGTCAGCTACGATTTCAGCAACAAAAACTACTGTGATAAACTAACTTATCTTTTTTCCTTCATTTTTTTGACAGTTGTTTACTCGCTTATACCATTCTTGTGCATTATTTTATGTTGTATCGCTGGCTGCGCTCTATGCATCAAAGGGTTGTAAGGTTTCTGAAGCTCTAACTCAACCAGTTTATAATGAAACATCGTGGGATTCTGGCATATGTTAGTGCACATTTGAACGAAGCTCCAACCAGTGCGGTAGGCATCAGGGTACCCTGCAGCAAAGTTACGGTAAGTATACGTAGGCAGTGCATGATGGAACAATCTTCTTCAGAACTGTGCAAAGTGACGCATCACCATAGTTTCGCAGGCAGATGTTTCTGAATAGGCGAGACATATTTTTTGATCTACTGATTTTTCGCCATTTTCGCTTCACGAACCTTGAAAATATTTTGCAGGCCTTTTTTAGCAAGCTGTTTACAGCCAAAATAGTATTTCGAACCACGAACGATAGCTTGAGCTTTCGTGTAGGATTACGGTAGTCATACGGTAGTGAGTCACCATCTTGGATTTTTGCTCAAAATCGAAACTTAAGCCTGTTTAGTGATTATTAGCAGAATTTACAGGCGATGGAGATACGCGCGAGTCGCGTTCGCGGCCCTCAACTAACACTGCTTGTGCGCCTTCGTCATGCAGTAGCCGTAATTTCCGCATTATTGAATAATTTGTGTTAGACTGTTTGATGGTTCTGCGAAGAATGCCTGAGTTTTGAGGTTTAAGCGAAGCATGATCGTCTCCAGTTATAATTTGAAGTTCTATAAAGTCCACATAAATGTTAAACATATGCTAAGAGAAGACGTTTTGCGGTAAAATTTATAGTAGTGATATGTCGAACGAACTGTGTGTTATTTCCGTAGCAGACGAAAAAACCCTGAAATGCGACTCCTTAGAAAACTCCACGATTGCATTTACAATACTGCTACCGACATCCTAAGCAAAAACTCAGCGAGAGAAACGAAACTCAGTCTGGTCGGACACCAAATAATTCTAAAATACGTTTTTTCACAAAAATTTGAGGATTTGCCACTCTACGTTATGACTGCAGTAATCTTACCCTATGGTCCAACCAACACAATCACTTGTTCCGTGAGCTGCATAGACAACTTCAAATTACGGTCAAATACGGTTTTTTACAAAAAAAAAACGGAGAAATTGACACTCTACCATATGACTACAATAACCCTACCTTGTGATCCTGATTAACAAAATGAGTGTCTGTTTTGTGATCAGAGCCCTAGATAACCCTTCCAAGCCAAGTTCTGAACTCTCATTCCCAGTATTTTCCCAAAAAGAATGCCATTTCAGACATTACGACCCATAAGTGGGTGGTAAATTTGGAAAGCAAAAAAAAAGCTTTGGTCCGAAAAGGTTATTCGAGAAAACGGCGTTGTCGTGAGTGTGTTGAGAACTAGTTTAATTTTATAAGTAACGAGCTGGCATCTCGAGTTCCAACCCGGTTTGAGGCCAATCTATCGTGCTTGACCCTCATGCAGCGAAACCTCTTCCTCTATGACTATGGGGAATGTGCACAGACATATAAATTTTCTAATTTATATATAGAGGGGATATTAGCGGCACTATGTGACAGAGATGTGAGTTGACCAAATAAATTATTTAGTCAGTTGTTTGCATGGAAAAAAAGATGAGAATAAACGTGTTCGCCAAAAAATCTACCAAGTAAACAGCGAGTGAGATTTCACACAATCTTGGGAACTGACTAGCATGGTTATGGCTTGCTTGATTGCGTTGAATGTGCAATACTAAAGAATCTGCATGAAAACTGTTTAGAATCTTGAAATACACTTCTGCTAAACAGCAACCTTTGAATTGTTCGTATAACTTCGACGTGTACGGATGCTCGAGCTCATCCAGTTTTCTCATGTTTAGATGCACTCGGCTTCTCTCATATCACCACAAGAACAGCCGGAAGTCTCTTGAGACCGCAAAAGTTATTTCAAAGTATTATATCTTTCCTATACTAGCTGCTACAAACTTTTCGAAGACAAGTTAAGGTTTCTACTTCTATTTTTTCATCTTCGTGGCCTTCTAAACGATTTAACAAATGACTTCTGTCAGGCACTATTGATTGTGATGCGATTATCTTCTGCCACTAAGGTGATACCATTAAGATTATCTTCTGCCACCAAGGTGGCAGAAGAATAAGTGCAACCGTAAAAACGGAACATAAATCATTGACTATTTTCAGCAGCATGTCATTTCGTCACTGCAGAAACCTATGAATCTACGTATTAGGTTGGCTAATAAAGAAGTTCATTTGACATGCAAATTCAAAGCTCCGTAACAAATCATGTAACAGCTATTCAGCTAAGGTTTTTTGGGTGAAGATAGCTTCAAGTCTCTACTCTCAATTTTAAGTCAAGATTTTATGTCTCTAAAAAATGACTCTAATATGTTCCGACTTCTAAAAAATTGCTTTTTGAATTTCAATGTTTCGTTCTCAGCCAGAGTGTACACAGGCGAGTAATTCGATGGCTTAATATATACAGCTTCTGGCTAAGGGGTGAAGCACAATCGGTACTGTGACCGCTGTTTTTGAATTTCTGCAGCCAAAAATATGAAAATTCCAGGCATTTGTTCGTGAAAGCCAAATTTTGGGCACTCCAGATCGCTCGAATTTGACCATCTATGGCCACACAAATGGCTGGAAACTTGATAGTTTGTTGAGTGGGTACCGAATCTACATTTGACACCTGACCTTAGTTAGCTTTCAGAGCATGATTTTGCGGAAGTCTATGGTAAAAATCTGACCATTCTTCTTTCCTGCATCATTTCATTTTCAGAAAATTATTAGGTTGTACCAAAAGTTCTTTCGCACCAAATTCAAAATTTCAAAACTTCTGATTGTTCCAATCGATTTGACTGCTTTTATATTTATATGAAAGAGTAAGTCATGCTCCTTATAATGACATCCTAGCTGCTTGCTAATGATCATCCGTTGCATGGATAAGAGCGGCAGAAGAAAATTAGTCAAAATTCGAATTTTCTGTGTAGGGTCATAAAAAATTGGAAACTTGCAACAAAAATCGGAGCAGTCGGTATTGTAGGTACTTTCACCAGCTCTTTCTAACTGTGCAAAGTCTGCTCCGATTGAGCGTCCCTATGAAAGGTTATGATTTTCAAGCAAGCAATACAAAAGGGCGAGTTTGATTAATTTTGGCATTTTTCAGGAAAATCATAACTTTTCATAGAGACGCTCAATCAGCGCAAACTTTGCATTGTTAGAAAGAGCTGGTTAAAAAAACCTACAATACCGACTGCTCCGATTTTTGTTGCAAGTTTCCGATTTTTTATGATCCTAGACAAAAAATTCGAATTTTGATTTATTTTCTTCTACCGCTCCTATCTATGGGGTAGGGGAACGAAAGCCGCCAGTTTGAGCCGTCTTACGCGGCTAACTGGTCCTTTCGCAACGTTGTTGCATGTCGTCCCAGGACCAGCAGTCCGCGCAGGCGACCGAGGCTGGCGGCTTTCGTTCCCCTACCCCTATCTATGCAACAGATGATCATTAGCAAGTACCTTAGAAGTCTTTATAAAGAGCATGAATTACTCTTTCATATAAAATTGAAAGCAGTTAAGTCGATTGGAAAAATAAGAAGTTTTGAATTTTTGAATTTGGTGCGAAAGAACTTTTGGTACAACCTAATATTTTTGAGAAAACAGTCAATTATGCGATTCTTCTTGATTTACACTTTCAATGAAACCGTATATACACATAAAAACTGATTTGTGCTAATCCTACGAACGCTAAAAACGGCCGAAATTATTTTTTAGCCAAACTAATAGTATATGTCTACTATTTATATAGTACAGAGTGTCCCAAAAGAGTGCGCACTGTTTAATCGTTAATAACTTTCTTGCTTTTATGTCTTTTGCCAAGCTCGAGGTCCAATCTGTAGAACGAGGTTTAACTAGACTTATAGTAAGGAGCGAAATACTAATCACGCTTCATTACTGTATGGCTACGGTATGAACTTTCAGCACACATCGTCACTATGATAGGCCTTTTAATGTAATAATTTCAAAAAAAACCTGATTATTAGTGTAGCAAGGTTTTCAGGCGTACTGATTTCATTACATAACTTTTCACCAGTTTTTTTTGAGCTTTCTCGATGGCGTGTTCACATTTCTGACGAAAATTGTAAAAGCAGTGGTTACCATAAATCCGAAATAACTCATGAAAGAAGCACTATGCTAAAATGCAATTTTTTATATTTAGAATCAGAGACTTTCCTAGTAAGAGGCCAGTGCAAGAGTTTCTAACTTGTTTGGCTTTCCTTCTGGGGCAAAAATCACTTCGACGGCTCAAAATTCTCCTCGAAGTTCCTACCGTAATTCTACAGTAATGAAAAGCGACTGATAATTCGCTCCATAACGTAAATCTAAGTCGAACCTCGCTTTAGAAAATGATACCACTCTGCAAAAGACATAAAAGCAAGAGATTTATTATTTCGTCATTGCTCCAATAGATAAGGCTACATCAAATTACAGTTTTACATGCAAGAAATTTTATCTTCAAATGATGAGAAAAGAAATGGAAAAGTCAGCTATGGACGGCTCTACATATGTAAGAACTACCCTGCTAGAAAATCAAGTTCAGGAAAAACAATAAGACTATTGAATAGTTTGAATATCAAACATGTAGAAGAGCAGAATGTTACACCTAGGATAAAGTGCGGTTCATAATTATACGAACACCTAAAATTTTGTAAGTTTTCGGACTTTTTGAGAGAAACTCAAAAAGCCGTTGGTACCACGCGATAGAACACAGCCGAAAATGGTACATGATCCATAAAAAGGGAGACTGATGTCAATCTTAGGAGTGTTTTTGCGATTAATGCGAATTTTTAGCGGTTCATAATTATACGAACACCTCAAACAAAGGTCCATTTTCCATTCAAGATTGCAATCATCTGAGTCCAATTTTTTTGTAGAGTTACAGTAACAAAGTCTAACATATCTGCTACACACTGAACCCAGTGCAGTTCAAAAAGAGGGCCGTTACTTTTTTCAGAATTCTCTAAATGCTTTTGGAGTGATTCTGCTCCAAAAACATCCGTTCTTCTGTGGTTTACGCGCTCTAAATAGCTTTTACCA